TTCCCATGAATTTTACGTTCTGCTGGGCATTAGGCTATACATCCATATTAGCCTTTCATTTCAGAGGACACATGACAAGAGGGCGACCCCTCCCTATCATAGTGTACCGTGTTTCCAGGCTTCCAAATGGTGCTGCAGGCATAGTTTCTCTCTAGTGGTAATACTGGGGGGAGGGGCTCACTGCTTGGAAAAGGTTCATCTACAGGAGTTTCCAGTCTTTTTTTTTTTAAACACTTGTTCTTTCTTTCTTTCTTTCTTTCTTTCTTTCTTTCTTTCTTTCTTTCTTTCTTTCTTTCTTTCTTTCTTTCTTTCTTTCTTTCTTTCTTTTCTTACACTTTATTCACTTTGTATCCCCCCTGTAGCTCCCTCCTTCCTCCCCTCCGAATCCCTTCCTCTGTCTGTCTTCTCCACGCATGCCCCTCCCCAAGTCCACTGGTAGGGGAGGTCTTCCTTTCCTTCTTTCTGATTCTAGTCTATTAGGTCTCATCAGGAGTAGTTGCATTGTCTTCCTCTGTGGCCTGGTAAGGCTGCTCCCCCCATCAGGGGTAGGTGATCGTAGAACAGGGCAATCAGTTCATGTCAGAGACAGTCCCTCAGTCTTTAGAAATGGTTACAGGCAGTGGCCTGACAAAAGAAAGAGAGAAGAACCTGCTCTTTCCATCAAGCATTGACACCCTCTCATGACCGTAAGTATCTCTGATTCCCTATAAGACTGGCAGGTGAGGCCTGTGGTCTTGTGAACAGGGTGGTAGTGGGGAGCTGGTTGGTGGTGAGGACCTGGAAGGCATGCCTGACTTCAAATGCTGGGTGTTCTCTCTAGAATGTAGGGTGTTTAAGTCACTTTATTGCTAGTCCAGAGCAGAGTTCTAGGATGCTGAGGTAAGAGTCTGTTATGCACTCATCATACCATGTACCCACTAATTGGGCTGGAGAGATGACTCAGTGGTTAAGAGCACTTGACTGCTCTTCCAGAGGTCCTAGGTTCAATTCCCAGCAACCACATGGTGACTCACAAACATCTGTGACAGGATCTGATGTCACTTCTGGTGTGCATGAAGACAGAGCTCTCATATACATAAAATATCTGAATAAATATGTACCCATTGATAAAAGTATAATAATATATGGATATATGTGACATCCCATACCTCCAAGTCAGGGCACCCCTCTGGTACTCTTCTCAGGTGGAATTATTAAACAAGGCAAACCCAAACCCATAATCATGTGCAACCCCCTGGCGGGGGGGAATAAAGCAACACATTTAGATTTTTCTCATGACTATTTTTATTTTTCCAAATGTCAAGTTTCAATGTGTTAAAAGAAACTTGGGCTTGGAGAGATGGTTCGGAGCCCAAGAGCACTGACTGCTCTTCTAGAGGACCCTGTACCCTTATGACAGCTCACAAATGTCTGTAAATTAGCTTTAGGGCATTTGATAGCCTTTTCTGCCCTCCTCAGTATTTGAGGTGCACATACATACATTCAGGCAAACACCCATATGTTATTAGAATAATGACATAATTTAAAAAATTGAAAAACCCACATGGATGGCTTTCTATTTGTGGTGCCCCAACTACATATTTATTTTATTGGGGAACCCAGTCTTACTTGTAGTCTCAGAAAGAAACTTAAAGGAATTTGTGAAAATGCCTTTAATGATCTACAAGGACATATATGTTAATGTTGCAGACATGAATATAGATGATGTTTTCATATGCATACACCTATGCATATACCTAAACACCCTATTTGGGTTTGGTATATGATATGAGTTACTGTCTGGAGTGCATTAATCTCACAGGTATAAGAAAATCAAGGAAGACCACCATTTTATGCCAGATAATAAGCCTGGCTCAAAGATTTCGACTCTTGGAGTCTCATTTTTCTTATGTATGAAATGTGGTTAATGACAGTATCCATCTATGCAATTGTGAGAATCATGTCATTTCAACCCATTAGTCAATGGATTAGTTCACGAACAAGTGCTTAACCTTAAAAGACTGTCTTGAATGCAGTCATCTCAAATAGTAGATATTACAAAGTACTTGTTGGAACTATATAGAAAATGGATGTTTCTTATGCTTTCTATATTTTGAATGTTTTTAATAGGTATGAAACGGATTAAACTGGCCTTTTCTTTTTCATGACGTTTTAGACTCTTTAAAGAATTATCCAGAGCAGAGGTCCAAGTGGTGTGAGAAATCACTCCTCAAGACTAGGGGTGCCTCACCTGGGCTCGGGGTACCAGCAGTCCTTTAAGTAGTCATCATCTCAGAGAGCAGGTGAATGAGCTCCCCCGGTGAGGCAGGCATGCAGAAACAGATGACAATATCCGCAGCCATCCATATTCCCAAGATTGTGCTGTGGGGAATTCATCAAGTGACAGACCTGCGCAGTTCTCTCTTCCTGCCCTAATTCACACTTATTCTTCATTTGTACCCTCTTGGCTACTCTCAGATTGCCTTTGAAGTGCTGCGTGTCTGCAGATTGATACCGAAGGGAAAAGTTTGACCTAACGATTCTTTTCAAATGGCTTTTCAATATTTCATTTATTGTTTTGGCCTCATTGCTTTTCTGCCTTGTGATCATGCACAGCTCTTATTAGGTTTATTGGCCTGCCAGCCTCAGATTGATTTAGCTGAATTTCTGGATCTAGAGGCAGCCCACGTGGACATTTATTTCTTGCATCTTTTCTGTTTTTCTTTTTCCATATTAGGTTTTTGTGCTAAGTTCACCGATATTAGGACTCAAGAGTCTCGATCTCCTCAGCAGATATTTGCCAGGTTGTAATTTTTTATTTGTTGTCAACAGCCAAACATAAACAAGGCCAGTCCAATTCTCATTTGGTCTGCGTAAGCCCTACTCTTGGTGTTTAGGGAAAGCAAGTGATAATTTCTAGTTCTTTCTTTGGTATCTGTTATCCCCCCCCCCCATTTCTCATATGTTTCAATTAAAAAAAAAAAAGCGACTTGGAGGCAGTGGGAACTACATTTGGACTTGAATGGTAAACAGCATGTATTTTGGCAGGAACGCCGCCTCAGGAGGTAGTGAGGAGATCTGTTTGGAAGCCCCATTCTTATCATCCCATTCCTCTTCATTATGGCCTCAGGGATTGTCCAGAATGACCCCCGCTTCTTGCTGGTGCACTGCTCCTGTCATGACCTGAGTGGCAGGGTCGGTCCTGTCTGAGGGTGGGCGTCTGTGGTGACCACCTGCCCTTAGCAGATTACATTGGAAATGCTAGGTGGGGTGTGTGTGTGTGTGTGCGCGCGCGCTTGCGTGAGCGTACTTGCTAACTGCAGGAACAGAATTTCTGTTCAGGTGTCAGTGGAGGCATTGGGGGCATGCTGGGCTAGCTGTTAAGCATATCATAATAGGTTTTCTCAAACCTGATTCAAAATGCATGTTTTTTGTTTGTTTGTTTGTTTGTTTTCGGACAGGGTTTTCTGTAACAGGCTAGCCTGAAAGTTTCTGTGTACCCAGGTTATTTTTGAATTTCCCTTCTTTTACTTCAGCTCTCCAAGTAACTGGGATTGCAGACCCACCTGGATTCAGGATAGATGGTATAGTCAGATGCTAAACTCAGATCCAAGCCCCTTACTCAAGCTTGCAGAAGTACCCAGCAATGGTTCCCTTACCTTACTGGTCTCAGGTGACATCGGAAGCCATGGTCTTGCTCATGACTGCTGCCTCCTGTTAAGTCAACACTTCGTGTTACAGTTTTACCAGGGAGCTCCAAGTCCTATTTAGCCTGCATGTGTCTCCATCGGGCAGCATTCCATGACTGCTCTGATCCAAAACAAATCCGTCAATAATCCAGTGCAGTTACCAGCACATAGTTGCTTAAGGGTCCATAAAGAGGGGTTTCCAGATCTTCTTTATTGGTAGCGTCTATGGCTGCATCTGAAATACTGTAGCTGAATTGTGACACAGATCACATGACCCAAAAGCTTACAGTGTTTACTTTCTGGACCTTTTCTGGGGAACTTCGTTAAGACTCGTCTCAAAGTAAGAGGGCTTCACATGTCTCCCTTTTAGTCTGACCCACAGTAAATGCTTTTTACTTTCTAGTCTATGAAAACCCTTTTCAATTCATCATAAACTCTTAGTATTTGCCACACAGTTTGGTCACTGAACAAATAATCAGAAAATTACACTTGGAAATTGGGGTGAGTCTGGGTGAGGAAGAAAGAAAACTCAGGAAGCAATTTCATTTTCAACAGAGGACATCCATTTATTCCTGTTGTCTTGTGGCTGCAGAGGAGCCCCTCATAAGAACTTTGCACCCAAGCCACCCCATTCCAACACAGAACTCTCAGCTTAAGAACATAAACTTTGGACCTGGGGAGCTGGCTCAGTGCGTAAGAGCACTTGTTGAACAAGCATGAAGACCTGGGCTTAATCTCCAGCACCCTTATGACGAGCTGGACCTGACTGCATGCTTGTAACCTCAGTACTTGTTGTGCTGAAGGGGAGGGGAGGACTGCTGGGGATGGGTGATTAGCCTGCCTAGCTGGAAAACTGAGTTCCAGGTTCAGTGGGAGATGCTGCCTCAAGGGAATAAGGCAGAGAAGGAAAGAGTAGGAGACTGAGGGTCCGCTTCTGGATTCTGCATGTGTATGCACAGGGTGTGCATGCCACTCCGAACAGGCAGCCACATCCACATACCCCCCCCCCCCCCCAAACACACACACACACACACACACACACACACACACACACACACACACACGCAAAGACCATAGGACTTGTCAAGTTTCTAGGGGGATTTATGTCCCTAGAAGGATCCAAGTATACACAGGAAGTTGAAGATTAGCATTTATTTCAATACTTAATGGGATCCTTTTGGGCACTTAGTTGTTTGTCTGTCTGTCTGTCTGTCTCTCTGTGTGTGTGTGTGTGTGTGTGTGTGTGTGTGTGTGTGTGGGACTCCCCTAGCATTAATGTCAGACTATTCAACCTAGTGGTTGATTCACTGGTCTCTCTTCCTGCCTGCCTAGTGGCCAGCCCATTCCCAGGGTGGAGTACACAGAAGAAGAAACTAAAACTTGGGGCATTGTGTTCCGGGAGCTCTCTAAACTCTACCCGACTCATGCTTGCCGAGAGTACCTGAAAAACTTCCCCCTGCTCACCAAGTACTGTGGCTATAGAGAAGACAATGTGCCTCAACTCGAAGATGTCTCCATGTTCCTGAAAGGTAAGACAGTGCAGTCTGCCCTTCCCTGTTCTCTATCCCCATTTGCTTTTCAAAGACACAAGGCACACCAGTAGGCCCTTTCCTAAAAGGGAAAAGTGGTGGGTTTAGAAGAGGGTGCCCAGCCAACATCCTGAACTACCAGTGGGAAGCAGAATGGATGCTTGGGTGGAGAAATGGATTTGGCTATTCATGCAGTTATGGGCTTGCTGAGGCCTCTCTTTGGATGTTTGCTGTTATAACTAGTAAGTTTCAAAGGATACCTGCGAAGAATGCCAGCCCTGAGCATCTTCTGAACACAAACTATTACTTATACTTAGTACTGAAGATCAGAAGTCTGTGATCAAGGTGTTGAAGGGGTGGAACAGAAGGGGGGCTTCTGTTCCCTTTCCCTTTTCAGCTGTTGGAGTTCACCTGTACTGCTTGGCCTATGGCTGCTTCTTTAAACCACTCTAGCCTTTTACTTCCATTGTCACCTTGACTTTTCTAACTCACTCTCCTGCTTCCTTTTTATCACTCCCCCCAAACCTTTTTTTGAGACAGGGTTTCTCTGTGTAGCCTTGTCTGTCCTGGAACTCACTCTGCTCCTGTTTCCTTCTTATAAAGACCTCTGTGATTTTTAAATCCCTAGCTGGACAATCTGGGATAATAGCCTCATCTTAAGAACCACTATTAGATCACATCTCTAATGTTTATTTTTCCAAATTAGACAACATTTGCAGACTCGAGGTGATTAGGGTGTGGGCATCTGTGGAGAGCTGCTATGTCTGTGTAGCCTTTCATTGTTGTTTCTACCTGGAATCTGCCAGACTGCCACGTCTAGCTTCTCGGTGCTCTGCATGTCTGGCTTTTGGTTCCCACCATTTTGCCACCTCAGTTCATAAGCTTCTCCCCACCCCCATTTACTATCCTGCCTATCGCTTCCACACAAATATCTCTGTCTGAAACATTATCTAAAATACTACTTTTCTCCCCTCACATACTCGTTTAGACACTCTCCGTGGCTCCCTCTACTTAAAAACAAAGAAACAAACCTGGGATTGACAAAGGTCTTAAGGGTAAGGCTAGATTAATAAATCATTTTAGTTTTGTGGTCTAAGATGAAAAAAAAAACAAAAACAAAACAAAACAAAACAAAATAAAAAACCCAAGGGAATCGTGGGCATTTACACAGTCATTTTAATGTGTACATTAAAAAGTACAAAAACTACCCTCCCTTTGCTATCAACAGGATCTCAGTTTAAACTCCTCCCTTTTCTCTGGTGAATATGCTATCCATCAAAATAATTATATAATATATATAAAGAATAGTGTAGAAAACAGAATTTATTACACAGTAAAGTCAAGTACACCTTCAAGGGGTGGAAATAGATAATGACCAAAGGGACCAATGTTTCAATGTGTGTTTTAGGTAGGTTTTACATTATTTCCAAATTCCTTAGAATAAACAGCGTTTCCTGTGGGAAGTTGTGATTGACAGGCCTGTTTGGATAGACTCTTACAGGAGAGGACACTGGTGTGAGTCTTTGTTCTTTATCTGAATGCCGCCTGCTAGGCAGAGATCTGACAAGGTGGAGGCCTCCTGAGCCAGGCTAGACAGTTATCTCTTAAGGACCTGGTGTGTTTAGGATCATCATATCTCCTCTCAGGAACAGAGAGATGATTAAAATCCCATTCCTTTGATAAGAAATTAGACTCCTGCTGTTCTAGTTCTTGGTGTATAGGCTGTGGACTGAGAGGGAGGTGTCTCATGTCTTCTGGGGTTACTAATATCTTTCTACCTACTGAAAACTAGGACACACAGATGTAGCTCAGGAGCTGAGTTTGGACAAGCATGAATTGTTCAACCTGTAGGGTACTGAGCCAGCTCTGTAAGCATCTTCTGCTGCAGTGTCCTGCTCGTATGATCTGCTCTTGCTGTGTGCTCTCCATACTTTTGCTTAAACTCTATCCTGATCATATGTGGATCAGGATGCATAAGAGCCTTAAAGCTGGGCCACTGAGAGCCACAGCTGTCCCCGACTGTGGAGGAGAAGCCTGAATATGAACCTTGTCCACCACACTGCATTTGCTACTGAGAAGGAGAGATAGAAAGCCACTGATCAGCATTGCTTAATGAGCACTTAGTTGCATAGTGTGTTCTGCTGTGGTTCAGCTAGACTCTGTTCTCCCAGAAACCCTGCTGCTTACATTTCTGCTACCTATGCATGTAATCCATGCTTATAATGGGAACCATTTCTCATAAATAGGATTCACATTTTGCTATCTTGTTTTTCAGTCTTAGTCATAAGAATATTATCTCACAATTCGGGCCATATTTGTCTTGCAAGTTGCTATTTTCATGTGAGTCAGCACAGAGTTCAGATTGAATCACTCACTCACTGGCACAGAGCAGAAACAAAGCAATTTCAAGTGCATGGGTTTTAGTGTTTTTTAATTGACTCATTAAAAAAAAAAAGACCTCATTTATTTAAAGCAGAAACTTCTAAACCAAAAATATCTACAAAGTTCTCAATGTCAAAATATTATATTTTTTCTTTACATGAAAAAAGTACAAAACTATTAAAATAAAAAATGTTCCATAGTGTACCAACTCATGCCCCACATGTAGGATATGCTTAAGAAGAAAATACACTTATCTTTTTGATACTCAGGGGAAAAAAATCTAAGGTGGAAAATCTTGACATAAATATAACACTGCTAAAATTATGGCTTCAGAGAGGCCTGAGAACACTGTTATTTCCATGTTGGTACCAGAAATCCCGGGATGGACTTGTTTTATAAACTTAGATGGCCTTGTCTCTTGTTTTCTTTTCTACCGTACTGAGGTGGTACTCTCCTAGTTCAGAATGGGAGCCTATACAGTGCTTGCATCACGGGTAAGCTGTTGTAGAAAGGCTCTTAATACATTAATGTTTACTATTAGTACGTGTAATTATTATGGAGGTTGTTATTTACTCCTACATTTCTATAAATGTATACCACAGACACCTGTTTGATTTTTAGTATGCCTGTACACTGGGGCTGTGCAGAAGATAACCCCTAAGCTACCTTGTTATCGCTCAGCCTCACATCCATGCCACTTGCTCTAACCATTCCTATCTGGGCTACTTCCCATCCACAATTCCCATAAACACTTGTGCATGTTTTCCATCTGGGGCTGCTTCTCTTCCATCGCTGGCCCCCAGAGCAGGGTCCCCCTGGCCACATGCTTCTAGTTCATGCTTACTCCATGGTGACTCTGCTTTCTTCTTCCTCCTCTCCTGTCCTTTCTCCTTCCTCCTCTCTCTCATGATCCTTCTGTCTTCCAAGCTGGTGAATATCAGCTTTGCCTACCTCACTTCTGCCCAACCCAGGTGTAGGCATTTTTTATTGGCCAGTCAGGGAGGTTTACAAACATCATTTTGGTTACATGAGGGTTTTCTCTTAGAACAGTAAGACTGTTGGGAGACAAGCAATGAACATCTGAATATATGGTGGCTCCATCACAGTAAACCCTCCTGGGCGCTCTGCTAAGAGAGGTAACCCAAAGCCAGAAAGACAAAGGATAGATGGCCCCATTGTGCATGGAATCTAAAACTGTGGAATACACAGAACTGGACCATAGGTCAGTGGTTACCGAGGTGGGGGCACAGGGGTCGTTAGTCAAAGGGTACAGAGTTGTAGCCATGTACAATGTCTAGAGATCTGACTTGTAGCTGGGTGATTATGGCTGGGCCATATATAATGTTATATAATGCTAAGAGTAGATTTTTATGGTGCTCTTCCCACATATGGAGCTATGCAGAGATGGGTATGTTAGGTTGAATTTGGCAATCATTTGACTGTGTATGTGTCTATAGAAACATGTTTTACCATTAAGCAGAGCTCAGAGAATCCTGTGGAAGAGGGGAAGGATGGATTGTAGGAGCCAGAGGAGTCAAGGATACCACAAGAAAACTGCCCACAGAATCAACTAACCAGGGCTCATAGGGGCTCATGGAGACTGAACAGACAATCAGGGAGCCTGTAGGGGTCTGCGCTAGGCCGTTTGCATGTATGTTCTGGTTGTGTAACTTGCTGTTCTTGTGGGACTCCTAACAATGGAAGCAGGGAGCAGGGGCGAGGCTATGTCTGCCTAATTTACCTGCTTTTGTGACCCTTTTCATCCTCCTGGGTTGTCTTGTCCAGCCTTGATATGGGGTGTGCCTAATCTTATTGTAACTTGATAAACTTGATATGCCATGTTTGATTGATAGCCTTAGGAGGCCTGCTCTTTCTGAAGGGAAATGGAGGAGGAGTGGATGGATGGGGGAAGAGAAAATGTGAAGGGAGGGACTGGAAGGAGGGGAGTGAGAGAGGAAGACTGTGGTCAGAATGTAATATAGGAGAGAAGAATAAATTAAAAAAAAAACAAATGAAAAAATGCTTTACATTTTAAACACATACATTTTTACTAAAAACAACCATACTCCCAAGATGAGGACAGTTAGTATAAAATAACCACTTTAAAATACTGAAACACCATATATATATATATATATATATATATATATATATATATATATATATATTTTTTTTTTTTTTTTTAATAAAATTGAGGCCACTGATGAGTTGTAGATTCATTTAGCTGATGGTAACTTCAGATTTTATTGTTTTCTCATTTTCGTTCTTCCTACCATAAAGCAGTAGAGTGTGCGCTGCCTCAGGACCTTTTCCCGTCACAGTGAACCGTGCCATAGCACAAAGAGCAATGGCGTTGGATGACGTTAGTAGGTACTTACACAGAAACGAAGGAGATGATTCCAGGACACTAGTGGTGAGGTCGCTAAAGCTCGTGCTGCTCAACTCGGGCACGCAGCGTGGATCCGCAGGGGAAACGTTAGGACCATGTAGTAAGCTTCACTCTAGGCTGTAATCCCCTCCTACAGATTTCAGGTTTCTCATCCTAATTTGGCTCCTTAATTTAAATCCCTAAATATATCCTTACCGTTCCTTTGGAGTGAACATCTTGTTCCCCTGGAAACCATCATTTGTGAGCATATTTTAGTCACCAGAGTCCACAAATGTGATGTCTGTTAACAGATGTCATTCATTTGTCAGGAGCTTTAGAGCCTGGATGACTTTGTCTCTGGAACATCCTTGCAAATAATCGGGACCCTAAAATTTCATCTTATATGGGAGCATTATTTAATAATTGTCATTGCCAAAGACTTTTGTCAGTGGATAAAGGCATGCACAGCAAGTGTCAGAAGTGGTTAATGAGCTAGGGTCAGATGGAAGGGGAAGAGGACCTCCCCTATCAGTGGATTTAGAAAGGGGCAGGGAGGAAATGAGGGAGGGTGGGATGGGGAGGGAATGAGGGAGGGGGCTACAGCTGGGATCCAAAGTTAATAAACTGTAACTAATATTAAAAAAGTGAAAATTTAATTAAAAAAGAAAAAACAATGAAAATCTTTATGCTAACAACCCATGTGTGGGCCCTAAGGTCTTGAGGTTCGAATTTAGTTGGATCTTTTTCTCTCTTGTCTCTTTAGAGCGGTCTGGCTTCACTGTGAGACCAGTGGCTGGGTACCTGAGCCCAAGAGACTTCCTGGCTGGCCTTGCCTATAGAGTGTTCCACTGCACCCAGTACGTGCGGCACGGCTCTGACCCCCTCTACACTCCAGAACCGTGAGTAATGCGTTCAGAGCTAAGGTGCGTGGAGGTCAGTGCGCTGTAAGACGGTCAATGTTTACTTGACTTGATATCTTCTTCTCAGCAGTGAGAATGACAGCGCTTGTCTGGAGAGAGGAGAACAGGCTGTAAGATCAACATCTTCAGCTGGGGCCTTGGGACTCTGCTGTTCTAGCTTGGGTCATCTCTCTTACTTTGCCACAATACTAAATGTTCTGCTTGGGCCTGTCTCCATATCTGATGAGAAAAAGGAAGAGAAACATCATTTAAATAGTTTCAGCCAGGACATACGTGCCTCTTGTTAGCAGGGCCCCCTTGGGTTCAGGAGGTTGAGGTTCATCACAGTATAAGCTCTTCTCTCACTTTTTTTAAAAATCATTCTCAAACTCAGAATTCTATGTTATTCTCTATCTGCAGTCTTAGCTTCTCGAATGTTCTCCCACCATTCATCACTTCCAGATAGCAATGAAGTGTGTGATTCTTCTTCACCTGTCAGCTTTTCTCAAACTGATCTTATGGCTCCTGTATCCATTCTCTCCTCACCAATGGGAGGGCAAGGGTAGACAGAGAAGCCATAAGGTTGTTTCACATAAGGACATCATGGTGGGCAGGGGGGCTGGGAGTGGGGACCGTGAACCCCTACATATTTAACAGTCTCGCCACATATGGGATTGCACAATATACAAGTGCCAGATGCCCTGTATTCTACTTGAGATACTTAAAAGTGTAATATTTATTGGGAAACACCTATGTGCTTAGGTAGTTGGGGAACGAGAGAGCGTCCTGCTGCCCTGAGCTGACGAGGATGGGGAGCAATGGCTAGTTTGTAAACTGACTGGTAGAAGGTGTCAGTAGCACTAAGGAGTGCTGTGAAAGTAGACGGAGGAGCAGGAGGATATGGGAATCAGTTGTTTTACCTTTTGCCTTTTGGGTCCCCAGGATGCCCCGCTGGCAGATGACATTAGAGCAGAGATCTGAATGTAAAAATTTCAGGGTAGAAAACTCCAAGGCAGAGGAGCAGGGCAGGAAAGACCCTGAGGCTGGGAGCTGCCATGGTGGTCTGCCTCCCTGGGCTCCATTCAGAGGAACGCTTCACCCCAATCTTAGGCTAATTTCTTGCCCACTGTCCTTCAAGGCACTCAAGTTATCACTTTGCTTATGATGCTGTTTTACCTGAATAAGCGCATGATTAATGGGCTGCCAAGGTCTTCACTGGGGAGCAGGGAGCCCCGGAGGTTCAAGCAGTTAAGTGGCTGGTAGCTCTGCAGGTTTGCAGGGGTTAGAGCCGAGCCTCCGGAGCCTCCGGAGCCCCCAACCCCCTCCTAGGCTGGCCAGGTGGGTCCCTGTAGGGTCACTACAATTTTCTTTTAAAGCTCTGTTCAGCTTCTCTGAAAGTGTTTTAGGGTAAACAAAGGTTACTTATAGGACTCTAGACATTTGGAAAAGAAATGCTTCTTAGAGTGGAGTGCTCAAAGGAGCACTGTCAGAGTTAGAAAGGCAATCTCTAAATCTAGCCCAGAGGGTTTACAAATGGCCCTGTTTACAAATAGCAGGCACTTTGTTAGCTCTCTTTGAATAACTGGCCCTCCCGAGACCAGCGATAGCGTGCCAATAGGTGTGCAGGAAGAGATTTTAGCCACGGAAGTCTGTAAAATTTGAGGATAATGTCTTACATTTTTACTAAAGTAATTTCAGTCAATTCATTCAGCCATATTTATGTGCAGTGTTAGTAGGGAGGTACAGCCGATTTAATGATGAATAAAATATAGTAGTTTCTCTTTTTTAAGCTGTTGACATTCTGGCAGGGGAGACAGAAGCACAAATAATCAGAAAAGTGCCTGCTTAGGGTTATTGCTTGGGTCTGAGGACCAAGTTATTCAGAAAAGATAGAACCGGAGTAGAAATCAGGAATGGTGAGCAAAGAGCTCATTTTAGGACAAGGTCTGGTAGAAAGAGAAAAGAAAGCTTTCCAAGCCAAGGGCAGAGCAAACACAAAGTTGTGGAGCATGGAGAAGGTACCAGGGAGCAGGTTATCATAGACCAGGGTGGCTAGGGCACAGCTTAGATTAGAGCAGAAATCGTCAGAACACATTTCAGTCATTTGTCATTGTAGGACAAACAGGCCTTGGCCTTTGGGAGGCACTGGGGAACTATCCAAGGTTCTGAAGCATGGTCAGGCATTTGTATTTGAGAAAGATGACTAGGGGCTGCAGAATTGTGGAGGGTAATAATGATGGAAAGTTAGCTAGGCTGCTTGCATCATATCAGGTGTTGAGCTAGACAAAGTCATAGCGCAAGAGGGGGTCTGTTTGGTGTTCTCTTAACCGCACAGAAAAGGGTTTGTGACTGTAGTTAAGGACAAAGAGAGGGAGGACCCCCCTAAAGTAATGGTAAAGGTTTAATTGAGAACACAAACGGCTTGTTATTCCTAGTACTTACAAAGAATACTGGAAGAAGACCAAGTTTTGGTGGAAGAGGAAATGAGGAAAATTTAGGTTGAAATATGCTGTCTTTGAGGTGCTTAGGGTTGGGATTTCCTAATAAGGAAAACCTTAGTTCCGGAGCTCAGAAGTGAATTTGAAGACTGTACTATAAAAACTGAGAACTTGAATTTTTTAAACTTATTTGAAGATTTCATTCAATATATCTTGATCATATTCACCCCCACTTGTTCCCACAACTTCTCCCAAATCCATCCCCAACCCTTTATCTCCCTAACTTTGTTTCTTCTCTGTCTTTGTAACCTACTAAGCCTAATTTGTACTGCCCAGATATTCCTATGTCTGGGGGCTATCCACCAGAGCATGATTGATATACCGGAGGCTACGCCCATAAGGAAAACCAACCTCCCTATTAACTGAAGCTGATTTCTGAACTCTTTCCCCCATGCCATGCGAGAATGCTGATTGGCTTGACTTTGTACGTATAACCACAGGCACCATGAGCTCTTGAGTGCAAGAGTTCTGTCATACCTGGAAGACACTGTTTCACTTCTGTCTTTCCTGACTTCTGTAGGACTTTCCTTTTTAATTACAGGAGTCCAGTGGACACACAGGCAAGAGGAGATTGAGTCACAGTATAGAAACTGGTGATTCACAAATTTGCGGTTGCTTTTATCAACTTGGTTTTCAGTTGTGTAGTCTACGTGCGTGTATATGCATGTTTGTGAGCATGTGTAGCTGTATATGTGCAAAGGATGATCTTGAATGTTGTTTCTCCTCAGGTATCATCTACCTTGGGATCCTAATGCTTATGTGGCAAGATGTTAGGGATTAATCTATATCCTTAGCCTTAATTTTAATAATATTTTTGTTTAAGAATTATTAGTTCATAAAAAAACTGATACACACATAGGGCTCAGAATTCAAAGGGTATACTGCAAACAGTGAGTTCCTTCTCTTCCTCTTGAACCTGATTCACCCCTCTCCATTAGCTACTCTGGTTACTGGTTTCTATTTATCCTTCCAGAAACATGCTATGCAGAATAAATTCTCTGTAGACATTTTCTTAATCATGGAGGATCACAAAATTCAGTCTCTTCTTAGACACGTGGCTTGAACCCATAAAACACTGTACTAGAAGTGCCCTTTCCTGCCCAACAACTTTCACAGGCATTCTCTTTATAATGAAATCCCATTTTCTCAATTGAAAACCATCAAGAGGGCAGATTCTCCAATTTGTGAGGTTCGGCTCAGCTCCTGTGTGTGGTGCCTGTTCTCTGCCTCTAAATTACAGCCTCAATTGTTGAACTGTGGTGGCGGAGGGAGCACTAATGAGACAAAGGTGAGCTGTGAAGGTCCAGGTAGAAATGGGAATGAAAGCAACAGAAAGACATTATCTGAAAAAAAAAAAAAAAAAAAAAAAAAGACTATTTTCACTTCCAGGCTGGGTAAGGTGTACTTTTCTATCTCAACTTTCAACACAATTTTCAAACACATTTTTGGCTTGCTTATATATTTTCTGCTTTGATATACTTTCATCTTATTAATTTTACGTATTATTTTACGTGTGTGAGTTTCTTGCCTGCACATATGTATGTTTAACTCTCTGGTGCCCACAGAGGCCAGAAGAGGGCATTGGACCACTTGGAACTAGAGTTAGAGATGGTTGTGAGCGTCGATGTGGGTGCAGAGACTCTACAAGGACACCTGTCCTTTGCAAGGACACCAAGCGCTCTTAACTGCTGAGTCACCATCCCTTCTACCCTTTTCTCAGCTTCTTTTTAAATTTTATTTTATGGAAAAATTGGCTTCATACATTACACTCTGATCACACTTTTGCTTTCTCTCAACTCCTCTCAGATATTTTCTGCTCATTCAACTTCATGTCCTTCCTTTTTCTCTTTCCTTAAAAAACAAGTAATAAAAGACAGACAGACAAACAAACAAACAAAAACATTAAAAAAAAAACAAATGAGAAATGCACACACAGAAACTCTACAAATATGAGAGCAAAGGACAAATAAGACAAGAAAAATGCCCAGGCAAAGCTATAATGAGACAAAAAGTTTATAAAAACGCCATTGAGTTCCTTTTATGTTGGCCACACACTCCTGCGTATGGAGCCTACCCTGTAGTGTGATTAATATAGCCAGTGAGACTCCCTTGGAGCAGACTAAGTTTTCCTTTGCAAGTGGGTACCAATTGCAGATAACCTCTTGATTAATGGTTGGGAGACCATGTTGGTTTTCCCTCTCAGCCCTGAGAGCCTGTCTGGCTTGAACTTGCGCAGGCCTTGTGAGTGTTCTCACAGACTCCGTGAATCTCTATGTGAATCAGTCCTGTCATGTCTGGTGGACACTGTTTTCTTGCTGTCATCCATCTCCCCTGGCTCTTATATCTTTCTGACTCCTCTTCTGCATAGCTCCCTCAACCCTGAGGGGGAGAGTGTGATGAAGCCATCCCATTTAAGACTGAATACTCCAATATCCCTCACTGTCTTCACATTGTCTAGTTGTGGATCTCTGTGTTATTTCCCATTTATTGCAAGAAGAAGCC